TTGTGCAGGATCATTTCAAATAGGGTTTTGAAATTGGCTTTAAAAAAAAAAGAAACTACTAATTTCACTAGCATTCTACAGATCCCTCTTGAATTTTCTATTTTCTGATAACTTTTCCCCCTTTTCTGTTTTGTTTCCTGCTTTGGAATCCCTTTTTCTTTCTTTCATTTTACTTTAACTTTTATGCTAATGCTACAATTCTACCCTAAATCTGTATAATTTTGTTTATTAGTTACCGTTCTTATGTTTTTAAGTGTTATATCTGTTGCATTGCTATGTACCTGGCTATTTCAATTTAATTTAAAATAAGCAGCATAGATGTAAAAATCTGTAGAGTGTAAGGGGGAGAAAAAACATTGAAGTTGAATACCCATGAGAGAATTTTGATTCTAGGAGAGGAGCCTAGACAGATTATAAATTTTTCCCTCCCTGGTGCTATAAATACATAAAGTTGTGAAATATTGATTAAACTTCATAAAGAGGCAATTCTGTCTTATCTAAGACAGAACATTCTAGTATCCTATAAAGAGATAAGAGTTGAAGAGAATATATAGAAACTAGATGCTCAACCCCTCACCAGAAAAAAAGGAAGAAAAGGGAAATGAATGACAACCTATAAAGGGAGCAATGGTATGGAGCTATAGTGAGATTTGTGTATGGAATAAAGTCAACACCCAGATATGGAGAACAAGCCAGCCAAAAGTCAGTACAAAGACTCTACTATACCAAGTTAAAATCTTCAGGAGAGCTTCTATATCCACCTGGAGAGGAACCATTCAAATTCTGGAGAGGATATGCCATTGAGACATGATAGTAATGGCAGGTGAAATGAAATGAAGAAACTCTGATGACCAGTGAAAAGTCTCAAGGGGCTAGTACTCAGTCTGGTAAGTGGTGTGAAATCAGGGTAGCTTAATGTTGCAATGCTGGAATGCTTGCAAAGTTCAAAAAGGACAGTTCTCAGCTCAAGACAGACTACATGAAGGGGATAAACAAGGTCCCCACTAATCCCCTATGTGGTAGCAGCATAAGCAGTTCTTGCTGTGCAAAGTGCTGTGATCTATGCCCTTGAAAGCACTACCTGATTGATGACTCGATACTTGACAGATTGTACTGGCCCCAACAGGCAGGCAATATTGATAACAGTACTTCTTAACTTGGGGCCTATATACTTTTAAAATACACATATTTTGATAGCTGTATTTCAATTTAATTGTTTTTCTTTATAACCACTTGTATTTTATTTTCTGCATTTAAAAACATCACACTGAGGAGGAGTCCACAGGCTTTCCTAAATTGGCAAAAAGTCTCGATGAAGCATAAGACCGAGTTCTTTGTGTTCAGAGGAAAATGCTGCTATCTTACACTGCATACTGAGAGAGTATAAGTACCAACAAGACTTTAGGTCTCATACAGAGAGGCTTTTTGTCTCTGGAAGAAGAGAGTAAGAATGCGAGCAACATCCTGGTGATGATCAACTATTTCACCCAGTATGCTCAAGTGTACACACAACCAGAAACCAGAAATCGCCTATGTTTGCCTAGATGTTGTGATATATATGTGTATATACATACAATTATAATATATGTGTGCATATATACATACATCTGTGTTTGTGTGTGCATATATGTATGTATATATATGTATATATTCACTATATGTGTTATGTGTGTATATGTACATATGTATGTGCCTTTTTTCTCTTTTCTGATAGGACTTCGAAAGCAAGTTACTCAAGGAGGTGAGGTATAGGCCTTGACAGGAATCGAGAAGTTTAGAACCAGCACTTACTAACCTCTTGGAAAAGCACAACCTGAGCAAATCCAACATTCCAAGGAGCCAGGGACATGAACAGAAGGCTCGGTGAAATCCACATGTGGCAATGTTAGTGCAGGCATAGCTACTACCAACATTGATGCCACAGGCTTTATCCTGCACCTGATGTTTGGCTAAGAGTCACATTTGCCTTGTGCCTTGGAGTTTCAGAAGACATAGAGATTTATAACGAGTATGCCTCTTGGCTGAGAGATTAGTTGAGTAAGACCTATGACTTCACCTCAGAAAAGCTCTTAGAGAAACAAATGATGGTATGACATTTAGATTCTTTGCCAAGATCTCTGAAAATAGACTAGAGTTCTGCTACGGAATCTTTGTATGCAAGGAGTAATAAGTGTTTTATGTGTACACACAAATGTATATATAATGCACATATAATATACACATACATGTGTGTGTATATATAAGTGACATGCATGTAAATATAGTGCTTTATATATCCACTATATATGTATACACACACACACACACACACAAATATAGTAACTCTAGTGGATGGATGGATGGATGGATGGGTATTAGATACTGGACCAATGGAAAGTCATCTCACAGCAAGCAAGTAGTAGAAAAATTTCCAGTCTACAAAGAATTTTGGGTGTCCTACAAAGAAAATACATCTCAGCCAACAATTACCTACTGTGGAAATACATATATATACTATACGTATATATCTAGTATATATACATATGTTCATAATTTTTATATTTTGTTTTATATATTTATACACATATATAGAATACCCATCCATATATCCACTAGAATATATACACACACATATACATATATATGTATATATAGTGGATATATAAAAACATGTATCTACATGCATGTCACTTATATACATGTATGTATATATTATGTGGGATTTATACACACACATTTGTATGTACACATAAAACTTTTATTAGGTGCTTCTTCTGTTCCAAGCTCTGTGCTAAGTGCAAAGCATATGAACAAAAGCTTGCTAAATAGTCCCTGTCCTCAAACTTGTATTCTAATCAGGGGAAATTATATCCCAATACATAAAAGGGAGCTGGAAAGTGGAAAGGAAGACTGGAACCAGAAGTGAATTTTTTTTTGCCTTCAATTGCTAAGGCTTCTAGGAAACTAAGGTCATATATACAATGTGAAGACAGAGCCAGACCACCTGGACCACCCCCAAACTCAGGAGGCCACAGGAGGAGTCAATTCAGCCAGTTACATAACTTATTCATTAATAGAAATGGAAAGCTGTTTCCCACACAGTCAAAATTTTGTTGTAGTCCATGCATGCATTTATTGTATGCTTTTCAGGCAAGCATGAATCATACTATTATGTATTATTTAAGGTCTGTGGGCTTGCTCTACAATTTGCTTTTCTTTGCTATTGATGCTTGTGTGCCATCACATGCAGGTACATGTACATATTATATGTTTCTGCATATAATCTACATGTATAGTCACTATACAACTCTAATGTGATTTTACATGGCATGAGATTTTTGGCCTTAATTTTATATATGAAATATTTTCATGTCTGCTATTGATTATGTACTCTATTTCACCAAGTAATGCTAGCTTCACGCAATTCTAGTGTAAATACCACATCTTAGGTATTTATATATGAACCGTATTCTGTAGCTGAAATTATTACCTGTATCTATCTTATTCTAAGTAATGACACTTAAGATAATACCTTCACAGATGTTCACTCGTACTTCAAGTCTTCCTGGAGAGAATTATCAGGCATACTTGGTTAAGGAGGAAGCTCATTAGTCCAGCCTACCGAGCTGTGAGGCCAAGATGAAGACTGAATGTTTTAAAAGGGGACACGGAGGAAATAATGTGGGATACAGGACAGTTCAAACTTTGGTAAAGGAAAGAAAGAGAGGCAAGAGCTATCCTGCTCCTCAGCCTCCTGGGGTACTACAATTAGATTTTTTTTTTTTTGGCAGGGCAAGGCAACTGGGGTTAAGTGACTTGCCCAGAGTCACACAGCTAGTAAGTGTATGCATCCGTGGCCGTATTTGAACTCAGGTCCTCCTAACTCCAGGGCCAGTGCTCTATCTACTGCACCACCTAGCTACCCCTACAATTAGATTTTAATAGCAAGTCTCTGTACTCTCTGGGCATGATCCAGACCTAAAAGCATGCAATCAAAGCAGGAATAGCAGGCAGGAAAGACATCCAGAGTAAAAGCAATAGCACAGCCTCCATAGCAGCAAGAACAGAGGCACAGATGGATGACCTGGAGGAGGCAATCAGCATCTGATCTGTTTTGTAAGTGGTGCTAAGCCCAAGTCACTTCAAGAGATGGAGACAAACTGAAACGCCCAGAGTTCCTGAATTCCTGTCCCTGACTAGGCCCTAAGAGGTTTTTGTTTTTTGTTTTGTGTGTGTGCGTGTGTGGGGAAGATGAAAATTCCTGTGGGTGGATACCTGCTATTTTTTTGTGGGGTTAATTGGGAAGAACTAAGTTCTCAGGTTTTGGGTTACCCTCAGTAGTTGGGTAGCCTCCTGGTATTTGGAGGAGTTGGAATGAGATGAAAGGACTGTGCTGGGCTCATTAATATATATTTGTTTTATTGCTTTCTAATAGGATGATTAGTGAACTTCATGTGAATGTGCTTTTGTATAAACAACTTCCTCTGAAATAGCTGGGATAGAATGAAGAGATGAGTTTCCCCATGTGAGTGGTACTCACCCAAGCACATAAATTCACATTAAACCCTTAGACTTTGAAAACAAGATAAATATTGCCATACACAAAAGGGAAAGAGAGCTAAAGGGAAGGAGATAGGTCTCTGAGAACCCAAGAGAGCCTGGTAGACCCAGAGTGAGTGTCTTCTGATGTTATTATGCGTAACCTTTAAAATGAGTGTTTGACAAGAAGCTCTTACTTAGTGAACAGTGTCAGGCACTGATCAGCATTACCCTCTTGATGATTCAATAGAGAACCCAGCTTTAGGCATTTTGTGAACAATATATATGTGTGTGTGTATATATATACCTGCATACATATATATGTAGGTATATATGTATGTATATATACATATGTATATATATATATACATATGTATATATACATACATATATATACATATATATATCTTTCTTAATATGATTTCAGTGAATATTCAGTGATTATTACAAATGAAGTTTATTAATTATCCCATAAACATAACCATTAAAAAAGAATATAACAAACTCTTGAGTGGTGTTAATAAAACAAGGCTCTGTATTAGAAGATATTTTTAGCTTGCACAGCTCCTACAGCGCTGCAGTCCATTTTCATTACAAGCTGTGCATTTCAGGGCTTTGAAAGAGTCTGTAAAGCAGTTCCGAAACACTGACATCTTGCTTCCATGGCACACTGAACAGGGAAGGAAGCCAAAGCCCCCACAGGAAGGACATTCATGTGGATGCTGAACTCTCTATAAGCACATGGAAAAAAAGAAAAAGAAGGTGGAAAAAGTGTTAGGATATCCAGTGTTACCAGGTCTTTGATCCCCTACTTCAATAGTAGTTGGAAAATAATCATGTCATAAAACCACCTTTGCCACCCTTTCTTACAAATTCACCACAGTATAGCAAGAGGGTGAGAAATAGGCTAACTACCTCCTAAGCATCGTATTGGTTCTCCTTCTTCTCTTTCCAACTCACTTTCTTTCAAACAATATCTTTCAGAAGATGAGAAGAGTGCCAACTATTGGCCAACCATTACATCTCTGGGAGAGGGACTGGGTTGTTCAAAATGTGTATAGTGTGGAAAACTTCACATCATTTCTGTGAATATCAATTTCTTCATATAAAAATAGGGATAATAATATTTACATTAAATTAATCACAAGGTTTATGTGTGGGAATGTGTTTTATAACCCTTAAACATTAGATAAATTAAGTTAGAGGTGGGCCCCACTTGGAACAATCCAATATATACAAATATAGATTTTTTAAAATGATATATGGTAAGGAGTAAATTATTTGCACTAAAAGAAGAATATTCATTTTAATAAGAGATTTAATGAGACCATCCTTTAACTATCAGGCATCCCTAAATTTGCTTTTGATAGAAAAAAATTAGAAAGCAGTGGGCAGAAGTAGGGAATGAACTTAAAAAGTGCTGTTAGATGCCACTACAAACTGAAGATTATAACTGTCATCATATGACATGCTTGTACAAGTACTTAATGCTTTTCTAAGCTTTTTCACATGGATTACATCTTTGTATGTTTGTCATATTCAATATGAAGCAGATATTATCATTCTTATTTTATATATGTGGAAACTGAATGACAGAAAGGTCAAGAGACTTACTTAAAGTCACACAGATAGCTAATGGTATTCAAGCCTGTCAATACAATGAAACAGATACTTTGCTTCAACATCAGGGAATATATACCCAAAGTGATCAACCAGATTTTTGTGGAAATTATCTGATTTCTAAAACATTAAATATATGCAAGGTGTCACAAAGGCCTTAGTGTAGTTAATGACTATTAAAATTTAAAATTGCACTGAGGCTTTGGGTACATGCTCTGAACAACTTTTTAGGAAGGTATTTGTTATGTAGTGTTCAACTACATCTACAGATGGCAAACAGTACGAGTATAGCAGGTCACATTTATCAAACATGTGAATGTTTGACTTTTTGATATCCTCAAAATTACTTGGCTTTAGAAGGAATGAACTAGTCCGTCTTACTGATTCATTATTGATTAAGTTCCCTGTGCTATCTAAGGCACTGTATTAAGCTGCTACACACCCCAGATATCTTCATCTTCTCTTTTTTCTACCCAATGCAGATAGATGAAAAATAATTAGTGACCTGTTCACTTGCTAGATACGTTTATTAAATTTTTATTTTGGAACAAATGATATGAAAGGGAAGGGTAGAACGAGCATTTATATAACATCTACTATGCTCAAGGCACTGGACCAAGTGCTTTACCAATATTATCTCATTTGACCCTCACAACAACTCTGAAAGGTAGGTGCTTTTATCTCCATTTTACAGTTGAGGAAACTGAGGCAGAAATGTTAAGTGACTTGCCTAGGGTCACACATCTAGTCTAGGTCCAATCTGAACTTAAGTCTTCCTAACTCCAGTCCCAGTGTTCTATCCATCGTGCCACCTAGCTTACATGAAGTGGTAAGCAAGAGACACATCTGTTATAAATGAAATAACATTAGGATTCAAACTTTCTGGTATTTGCAAAAATAAAATTCCTTGGACTGGATCCAGTGACAATCTTCTTTGAACCAGAGCACAGTATGACAGCAAGAATCCAGTCTGAGACCATGGCAGCACTGCAAGACTGGAGCAACGCTGTCCTCCCAACTGCTGCCTCAGACTCCTTTACCATCTCCCTCTCCCCCTGTTAGATGTTATTCCTGGCACACGCTGGCGTGGTCTGCAGGGGTTTCTGGGCATCCCTTATTTCAGGTCAGGGCTGAAGCATTGCTCCTTTTTCCACAGGAGGGGTGGTGCCACCTGGCCCTTGTTTAGTACCATTCCTCTTTGGAAGGGATTGGGCAATAGGGATTTTACTACCCCGATTAACTTTTTAAAAGTTAGAAATAGTATCAGCTACTGAGGAGAATATTCATCATCTACTCCCAGGCGTCTTCACTTTAGACAACATTATTTACGTCATAAATTCCCAGGGTCCCCCTAAGTACCCCTCTTAGATATTTCATCTTCTAGCTGTTGTTCTAAGTTACTGATAACAAAGCTATAATGAGCAATTTGGATGCCTAGGGCAATGACCGCCATCTAAAGATAAATTAAATTGAGCACAGGAGGGACTAGGGCAATAGTGACCTCAAGAACTCAGACCTAAGGACACAAAGCTAAGTAGTGGGAGATACAGGAATCCTGGGAAACCATGAGACTGTGAGCTCCCTGCTGATCACTGCAGGGTAGGGATAGACGGAAGAGATGTGAATGGGATGTGATCACCACAGAGGAAAAAGCATGCTACTTAAAAATTTCACATTTTAATTAATTATTTTTGTAGCATAAATAACCCAATTTATGCCTCCTGAAAGAATACAAATGCCCTCAGAAACCTCTAAATTTTGACACTCTAGACTGATCTCTGGTCACCATAATCCAGACATAGCTCTGTCCACTAGAAACTTCCTGAGGAATTTTATAACAATAAATTAACATCTGACTTAAAAATACATTTTTCTCTTGAAGGATAATCATTACACATACACACACACACATACATGTATGTATGTATGTATATGTATATATATGTATATATATACATATGTATATATATATATATATATATATCAATGCTTCATTGATGTGGAGACATCACAAACATCTGATATTTCTATGCAATAAGACAACTAATACACTATCTACAGTCATTTGGAATAGTGCCTCTGGTTATTTTTCAAACATACTTTTCACACATGGCAATCCTAGTTGATGCAAGGTTGAGAACATATGCAATTAATCATTTTTGCTAATTAAATGCAATCACAGTAAGCATGGTACAGTAGAAGTGTGCTGGATTCATAGTCGGAGGACTGAGGTTTAACAGGATCACAGATTGAAAGTAGCAAGGGACTTTCATTTAGTCCAATCCCATAATTTTAGAGATGAAGACACTAAGGTAGAGGAGTGGTGACTCGCCCAAGATCAAGCAGGCAGTATGTGGTTGAGAAAGGTTTTGAATTTAGGCCCCACAACTCCAAGTCTACCAGTTTTCATACTATACTCTGAATCCTGGATCTCCTATTTCCTACCATGGTTACCATGACAAACAATTTAGCCTCTGTGGAACACAATTAATTCATCTGTAAAATAAGGGGACTAGATGAATGCTGGAGACTTCTAGCACATACAGCCTACCCACCTGTGAATATTTATTAAGCACTTATTCTTTGTAGAGCACTATGTAGATACTGGAAAACGCAAGAAGTCTAGCAAAGACCCACTTGGTACTCATGTATTTTACAGAAATTCCAGGTAATTCAATGTAGATGTAAAGTATAAGAAGGCATGAATGCCACAAGCAATGCTATGCCACATAAGGAAACTAGGCCATCCTAACATCTAGAGGTATTCCAAAACATCCTGAAAAATCTCTTAAGAATTCTGCTACAGAAGCATCATATTTGATTCTGTGGATCCACCAATCACATCTGGCCAGGGTTTATCCACAGAAATACCCTTATTTCTGTAATGAATTCTTAGCATCAAGCTACTTTATATACCTCATTCTGACTTTATCTTCTCAGTCTAAGGGTCAAGTGTTTAATTCTATCAAACAAAATATTATGCCCCATGAAAAACAGATCAGATGTTTTATAGGCAGACTTTGAGGTGACCTATTTTTAGGAAGTTCAAAGAAATAAAGCCTATGAATCAGGCATGGATGAACCACAAGGAGTATAATAGGAAATAACTGACCTGATTCCCTCATGGAATCAGAAATAACACGGAAGGTTTGACTTTCATTAATCAACAAAAGGAAACTCTTCTCGGGTTCATAGGAAGAGGGAAGGATAAACAGCCCCAGCTGTTTATCATGAGAGAACTGGTTGGTTCTCTATGTAGTGGCTTTGCTTCCCCTTTGAATCCAGGAACCATCCCCTGAAGCTGAGAATAATCACTAGGGCTAGGGAGAAATAGTACCATTTCATCACTTTTCTGTGTGTGTCTCAGAGGCACAAGCAGAGGTTGGGCCTTTCACAAGGCAGTGTGTTCTAGTGGAAACAGTACTGTCCTGCAAATTATTCAACAAGCATTTAGGAAGCACCTGTCATGTACAAGACATTGCCCTAGGCTCTGAGCAAACAAAAGCCAAACTGAAATAGTCCCTACTTTCAAGCCTACATACGTATATGCATGCATACACACATATATGCATATACACACATATGTGTACATACATGTTTCTAGATATAAACATAGGCATAATTCCTCTCTCCTCTTACTGTGAATTCAATTGAATAAATATTTATGAAGTACTTATTACGTGCAAGATAGTATATTAAGAACTGGGAATACAAAAAATGAAGAAAAATAAAACCACAATAACAAGCAGTACCCTCCCCCAAGGAGCTTACATTCTAATAGGAGATACAACATGATTTGGGAATGGGGGCAATTAAAATATTTTTATACTGTCACTTATAAAAATAATTAGTTAAAATTATAATTACCTCAATTTTAGTTAAGAGATCTTGCAGTTCACCTGATTCATTCATTGACAAAATTTTCTCAGCACCCTATAAACATGAAGAAAAAAGGAAACCCATGTTGTCAGTGTTTCAGAAAGTAAAATGCAACCCTGTGAAATTAAATGCTTTTTCTGAAAGGGTAGAGGAGGTGTATGTGCACATGCTCCACATACATTGGTAACTCAAAACACAGGGAGGGAAAAAAAGAACTGAAATTATTTTCTAATTAAACCATAATTGTTTATCAATTAAAGTCGTCAATTAACACATATGGTAGGAAGAGCAGATCTGCTTCCTATAATGACTTTGTGTGTTCACTAAGTGCCCATTACTCAGAAGTCACTATTTAAGGCTGAGGAAGAAAAATCAGTCCTCATGGTAACTATAAGCTAGTTAGGGTATAAAGGTACAAGCATAAAATATAATAAAATAAAGTGGTGAGCAACATGAACTAGGAATTTGTTTGTATAGATCTGATCATAACCCTATTGTGGTTCCTCATTGCAATTACAATTAAATACAAAATCCTCTTTCACATTTAAAGTCCTTCACAACCTGTCTCCAGGCTACCATTCCAGGCTGTTTAAACAAGAATTCCCTTCACCCATTCCTTTCATCTATTTACCAGCCAAACTGAAAAACTTGCTCCCTATTCAAAGGTGAGGCTGAAACCACCCCATCTGATTCTGGTGCCTTGACCAGCTGCAAACATTTATTAAATACTGAATCATTCGATCAGACCTGAGTGTGAACAAGGCATTTGTCCTTGTATGTAAATATATACATAGGTGTATATGTTTGTGTCTGTGGGTGAAGGGACTGGTTCATGGCCTAAGTACTTTGTATACAAGGAAGAAACTATCTCAGAAGCAGGGAGGAAGAGATTCCAAGCATCTAAATTCCATAGGTTGGAGCAAACATAGAGAAAAGGGAAGAATTAGCTATGGCAGGGAAGGGCAATATCATGAGGGACCTTGTTTCTATGGGCATTTCTTACAGGAGGATCCAGGCTGAGGGAAGCCCTGAGCAAAATTCAGCTCTTTCCCCAATTTTCTTTGCCAATGTCTGCCTCCCCAAAGACACTATAATATAATCTGCTGTTTTGTTAACCAAGTATTTCCAGTAAACTGAATTTGTCTCAACCACAAAGAAGCCATGGGTTTAGAAGTTAGAAATGTAAAGTTAGACAGGGAACACAATTTCTGCCCAAGTGATAGGATTTTTCAATAACTAGAAACTCAGAGCAATCATGACTCAACTTAGAAATTGTCATCTAAAACAAAATTCCTAAAGTTAAAGAGAAGAAAAGCAAAGGCACTTTTTAGGGGCCATTATGTTGTCTCAAGCTAAAAATGAGCTACACATTAAAACAGGGTATTACACCTGACCTTCTATATTCATCCTTCTATCTTCCTATGAGCTGTCTCCCAAACCCAAAATTCAATCCCTCTTCACATCTGCCTCTTAGAATAGCTAGCTTCCTTTAAAGCTCAGTTCAAGTTGCACCGTATAAATGAGACCTGTTCCATTCCCCACAGTTATTACTAGTCTTACCTGCAAAATGAGTTTACATCTACTTTGTATATATTATGTATTTTCTTATATGTATAAATTTTATTTCCTATAATAGAATAGCAGTTCCAGGAAGGCAAAACTTGTGTGGCACATAGCATGTCCTTCATAAATGCTTGCTGATGGATAGATTAATTGACGGGTACATAATAGTCATTTAATAAATGCCACATGGATTTCAGCTGAAAGAACATCCCTAGACAGGGGAGAGAGAGAAGGCTTTGTGAAATAGGTGGTATTGAAACTGAGCTGTATAGGATGGGTAGTATTTCCATCAGAAGTCATTTGCTAGAATGATTTATAACCAAGTGGTATCTTGATTTCTTTTCATTTTGGTATATCCTAGATGCTTCATGCCTCCTTAATCACCAGAGAGAAATGTTGAGTTAATATGTCAGAAATGCAATGAATGAATATGCAATGCTGTAGAAAATGTGTATAAGAAGAAGCAGTGAGCTATTAAAAAATTGTTGATGGTTTAGCTGGAATACAGCCCTAACATACCTCATGTGCAATAAAGTAAGTCTGAAGGTAATGAAAATACCATGACATAACATTAGAGGCAAAAACTCACTAATGACTGATAATATTTTAGTTCTGCTACATTCTATTTCCTTTAAGAGCTAGCAAAACTTGAAATAGGAAAACCTCTGGGGATCTGAGCAGCCTGAACTAAGGCAGTAATGAAAGAATGTGGCTCATTTCTCTCCTGTGGAAGGAAAGATGCTGAAATGACTACAAATAAAATGAATGCACCAAAGTACCCATAAAACTCTTCCTGTTCTTTTCCTTAGCTTCACACTGAACCTGAGAGGAATTTATTCATTCAATCAATATTTATTAAACACTTTCTATAGACCTTGACCCTTTGCATGGTATGGCATAGAATATACAAAGATAAATAAAACATATCTCCTGCCCACAATCAGTTTATAGGCTAACTGGGAAAATAAGATGTGCACAAACAAGCGTGATTCATGTAAAATAGTATTTTAAGCACATTTATAGAGGTGCAAAGAGCTAGGTGAGATAAGAATCTCCATGAGACTTTTCCTAACCACCACTCCCCATCAGTAAGGATATAATATAGAATTTTGTTTCACACCTCTCTGATGCAATTATGCATTTTTCTGATAGTTTTTCTTAATTCTCTCTACTCATAATTATACATGTAAGATCAGTGAGAGCAAAACATTTTTCTGTTACAGTTTTCCTAATTCTTACTTACAAACATGTGAGTAAAATGAAATCGTCTCAAAAGTTTGTAGTTCTACTAATGATCTAGCATGACACCTTGCACAAAACAGTTGCTTAATAAATGTTTGTCAAGTTAAATTTAAGAGAAGAAATCAGCTGGGGGTTATGAGGAAGTGGGCTTCATGAAAGAAGTGGCATTTAAGTAGGTTCTTAAAGAATAGATAGTTAATAGGTCTAGATGGAGAAAGGGATTCTCAGGTTTGGGGAAGAATTACCAACTCAAAAGTTGGAAGGGAAATTAGCATCCATCTAGTCTAACCTACACATGAAAGGAATCACCACTGTAGTATACTCAAAATGTAGTCATCTAGCTTCTTGAATTCCTCCAAGAGCCTACCACCTCTTGAGGCAGCCCATTCAACTTCTGAATAACTCTAATTTTTAAAAATATTTCTTCACATAAGCCTCGATTTTTTTCTTTACACTTATTTACATGAAGCCTAAATTATCCTACCTATAACTTGTGCCCAATTCTCCTAGTTCTGCCTTCTTAGACCAAGTAGATCAATTCCAAGCCCTTTTCAACTTGATGGCCAATCTATTCTGATCCAATGATCATTTATTGTGTGTATGATATGCTAAACAGTAGTGATAAAAAGACAAAATGGAAAGTAGTCTCTTCCTTCAAGGAGTTTTCATATCACTGGAGGGAGTGAAGGTGAGGGGAGGGGTGTGAAACATATAATTTTATATATAATTTGAAGAGGAAGTAGAGAGCACTAAATACTAAGGGAATCAGAAAGGCTTCCAGTAGGAAATGACATGTGAACTGAAACCTTGAAGGAAAATAGTGATTCCACGTGGAACTGGGAAGGAAATGTATTCCATGGATGGGGGACACACTGTGCAAATGCACTACGGTTAGAGATGGAGTGCTGAATTAAAGGAAATGCAAGTAGTCCAGTTTGGCTAGAATATAGAGTACTTAAGCCAAACGACTGTCATGTCACCTTTGGGTTTACTTTCTCTATATTAAACATCAGCAGTTCGTTCAACAGATGGAATTCAATGTCTTCAACCATCCTGGTCACTCTATTCTGCATATACAAGCTTGTCAATTTCCTAACTAAAGTGTGGTACCTAGAACTGAACACAAAATTCCATAGATGATAAGAACAGAGCAAAGTACAATGGGAATTCTGCTGTCCCCTTGTTCTGGATGCTATGTTTCTCTTAAGGAAGACTAAAATTTCATTACATTAGCTTTTGGGGAATGAGGGGAGAAAATTACATTTAACTGCTGGAAGTTTTTCACATGAATTGTTTTCCAGTCAAATCTCTCCCATCTAATATTTGTTCTGCCAATTTTTTGAGCCGAAGTGTAGGACTTTACACCTGGCTCTGTTTAAAATTTGTCATCATTTTAATTAGTGGCAATCTTTGGTTGATGCTGACTTCATCACTGAACCTGCCAGATAGACCTCCAAGGACCACCTGCAGAGTTGACAAAAGGCTAGCTATGCTTTCATTTAAGTCGTTAACAAAAAATGCACAACAGGGTTAGCACAGGTCTGTTTTTGCAGTGGTTACGCTTATAATTATCTTTGTCATTTTTTCCATTTCTCATTATTCTGCATTATTATCTTCTTTGGATAGGTCAGGTTTAATTTCTTGCAATTATATGCAATGTCTTCATCTCATTATTCTTTCCTCTAATTTAATCTTGATTTTCATTGACAGCCTCACAGGGCACAAACAACTGGTTCTAATATGACTTCCCACACCAAGTGGGTCATCATTCATTTCCTGCATGCTCACATAAGTGGTTAATTTTGTGATATGTCTCAGTGCTTGCTAAGTGTAGTGGCTTTCAACTCTCTTCTTAAAGAAAGCATATACTGCTGTGGAATTTCTAAGTGGTCCAACAAGCCTTTGTCATTTTTCATTTCTTAAATCTGAACCATGTTTTCCAACATACTTTTCTCTATCCTCCCCATACTCATCTTCAAATTGAAATCACCAAGTATACAAATAAATGTTGACTTGGTTTGTAGGGATTTGTTCATTTCTTGGAAGAATTTCTTTACCTTTTTTTTTCTCTGAAGTAGTGTTGATGCATAAGTTGCAATTAACATCTTTGTGCCCTTTTTGCTGATGTTCAATAGGAGTACTACAAGACCAGATGACCAAGTGTCTTGTGAAATTATCATTTTTATTGCCTTTGAGCATAGAACGAAATCAACTCAACCAATTCTTTTGTTAGATTCTCCAAAGAGAAC